TTCTTATGGCTCCCTGATAGGTGAATAGTGCTATTTCCTGTTTTACATGGGAAAAGCCCTTCAGAACCAAAGAAGCGACTGTCTTTTTAAAGGTACATTCTGAAGTAGGGGAGCACCAGTTCAAACTAGGCTGGCTCCTGCCAAGGCCTGTGGTGGTGTACATACCTTCCTCCATTCTTCCCCAAACTGGTATCTCCTTTTCCATGTCAAGTTTTAAAAAATGTTTCTCATGATCATCTTGTAAATATGTTGATCTTCATTCTTACCCATATAAAAGCATTTTTCAGAAGACTTATTTATTTTATGTGAATGAGAAGTTTGCCTGAATGTACCACTGTGTGTCTGGTGCCCCCATGTTGAAGTCAGGAGAGGGCCTGTGAGCCTCTGGAACTGGAGTTACTGTGGTTCTAAGACACCCTTTGGGAATCAAACCCAGGTCCTCTGCAAGAGCAGCACATGCTCTTAACTGATGAGCTGTCTCTCCAGACCTCTTCTCCATTTTTTGATAGGATGCTATTCCCTTTTCCCTAGTAGAAGCCCCCAAATGGCATAAGTTTGCATAAATTATGCCCACTGGACTTTAGTTACAGATGGTTTTTATCAGCTTGACCTGGCATCTTTTTAAAGAAGCTGAACAGTAGTGAGAAAGGCCCCAGCCCAACTCTGAGACATGGTAAATTATCTTGGCGTTGGCCTGGGTGCATATGGCTTTTCCCTCCAGATGTGGGGCCTCCGTGATTTAGAAGAAGGGGAGAGTCATGAGTCTCTTCCTTCCCAGCTGGGTGGGAAGGCTGACTGGAAAGCAGGTCTCACACCGAATTCTGTCATAGATCAAACACTTGCAAAAAACAGCATGCACAAAAGCATCCAAAACCCCACGAGGCCCCTCCAGCACACCAAAAGAATTTGTAGGGATTTATGAGCACATACCTTGGGGGGGGGGGTCAGCCCCAGGAGAGCCCAGAGTTTCTGGGAGCTACAGAAAGTTTCTGAAGCCAGGTGGTAGTCACGTACTTGCGGAAGTACAGTTCTGTATAAACACTAGGTGGATATACTTTACTGGGAAACCTCAGCAAAAGAAAAATACATGCAAATGACCTTTCTGTGTGTGACAGGGACACTGTTACATTTTGATCACATCAGCATGTTCCTTGAGTTAGATAGAGATTTTTTTCATCTAAGGGTCACTGGGTGAGGTGTGGACACTTGAAGGTCTTTCATAGGGTGGTCCTCATCTCATCCCTGAGTCATCAGCTCAAGCTTCTGGCCCCACATGCCTCCTGAGGAATTTATCATTACGGCTTTTGTAAGTCAATACAGGCAAGACAACTACTTGAAGTAGAAGATGTCCCTTAATTGAGGCCAAATCTTCCCTACAGTGGCCCATGGCAACCCTGCAGAGTTCCTTCTCTCTGACAGTACTAGCTTAGCCTTGTGGAGTCCCTGAGAGTGGATGTGGTTCTTGTCCCTGTACAGTGACCACCAGTGGTGCCTGGGACCCCTAGGCATGGGGTGCTGCGTCTTTATTCTTTGCTCTGGGAATTGACCCTATCCTCTTCCTAGAATGAGCTTTCTTTGTCTTTTAGAGGGCAGCAAGGTCCTGGGGAACAAAACAGCAATATTTTCCTGGCTCGTACGCTCAGGCTGCTTTAGTAATGGGTATGGGAGAAAACAGGGAAAGAGAAAAGGGGTGTGGCGCTGGCAGGAGCTTTCACCCTAAGTGCCAACTCAATGAGTATTGGTTTCTAACCCACTCAGAGCCTTGGCCAACCGGAGAGTTCCCTCCAAAGTGAGGTTGGCAGAGTCGGGAGATAAAGATAACCCCTTTCATCAGTTGCCCGAGTCGGGGTCTGGACTTCTCACTGGGCAGGGTTATATGATCCTGTGACTCATTTTATTGCCCAAGGCATTCTCCCTCCTCCACATTTCACACGTGCCTCTCCTCCCGTGTTCTCCTTTATCAGAACCGTAGGCTTAGAAAAACAAAACCTGGCATCCACAGACAGAAATCCTTTGTTAGTATTCCTAGTCCACTGTGGACATGTTGCCATAGTGATATTGTACACACACACATGCAGACCCACACACAGACACACATGTGCACACACACACAGACACACACACACACACACACACACACACACACGTTCGCGTACTCCTGTGCTCAGTTATTGAGAATACCATTAAATTCTTTTTTTTTTCCTTTCTTAGACAACAGGCAACACTGTTAACTAAACAAACTGTTAATATGTCTTTACAGCTTCCCTTGGCACTTTTTAGCTAGTTGAATTTGCTCCTAATTCAGCTATACTTAGTCATGCCCTGTAAGTAGAAGAGCCGGTGTTGTTTCTTTCAGGCCTACTCATTGTTGGAGCCAACTTGCAATGCTTCTAGCGATGGAGATCATGTTAGCGGAACGTGGTGAGTTAGCCGCTTTTCCATCGCTGTGATAAAATATAAAGCGACAAAGGCAGCTTATAAACGGAGAGCTTTCCTTGGGCTCGTGGTTCCAGAGGGATGAGTCCATGATGGTAGAGCATAGGCATGGCTGAAGGGACAGGAAGCTGAGGACCCATCTTGAACCACGAGCACAAAGCAGAGAGTGAGCAGCAAGGAGTGAGAGGCCTTAAGCCTTCAGAGCCCACACCCAGTGACATACTCTCTTCAGTAAGGCCACACCTCCTAAAGCCCTCAGACACCAGCTCCAAAACCAGTGCCACCAATGAGGGACCGAGTGTTCAAATACATGAACCCAGAGTTGGGGGTGGGGTGGCTCATTCAGAGCACCACACATGGGAATTGACTTCTGTGGCTGTAGGTCCCTTAATTTGTTTCCTGAGATTTAGATATCTCACTGCATTGTTTGGATTTTAGCTTACAGCTTTAATGTAATCATTTTTAGAGAGCAAAGTGCCAGAAAGACATTACAAGATTTGAGTATTTAGTAATTAATCCTGTTTGATATCCTATCAGACCAGTTGGTTCCTGGATAGTCATATAGCAACTTTCTTTAAAAATTGGACTATGTGAACTGGGTGGATTGAATAAAATATTATTCCACTGTCAACATGTGTGGGGTAGTTGTAGAATTTAGTTGAACTCAGAGAGTTTAATAAGGTCCTGGCCTTCTGCAGCCCAAATCAAGCACATCATTTGCCCTTAACCCAAGGCTGTGGCTGAAGATGGTGCTGCCTGGGACTTCTCTGTGAGTAAGACTCCCTATCATTGACTATAGCTGATGGCAGCTGGCAGCCTCAATAGCTACTTGGAAGTGGGGGTTCCTGTCTAGGCCCTGGTTAGTGCTTTTCCCCATCCTAGGTTCTTTACTGTCCTGAGTTCAGTACATCAGATGGTTTAATAGCTCTTATTGCTGCACCTGGCCACTAGGGGCACATCTGTTCCCAGCTCCATATTTAAAGGCTAAGATAGTGCCCTCCTCTTGCTGTGTGATCTGACTAGTGACCTAGCTTATTAGAGGCTCTGTGGTCTTCCCTGTAAGATAGAGACAATATCCTCCCATCAGTCTGTTGAAGAATGACACAGTTCTTGTGGGAATCCTTGTTACAGCACTTGACACTGAGCAGCGTGTACTCTGTTCACTATTCCCCGTGTTAATTACACTGAGCAGCATGTACTGTGTTCACTATTCACCATGTTAATTACTAGTGTGTGGGAAGTTCTGTTGTCCCCACCCCCTCCAGTGTTTATTAAATTGCATTACAGATGTCTTTAGAGGGGCTTAAAAAATCCTTTGGGGCTAGCCTGGTCTACAGCACAAATTCCAGGACAGTCAGGGATACACAGAGAAAAAACCCAAATAAATAAATAAATAAATAAACAAAGAAATGTATATTTTAAACCAGGCAGTTGTGGTGCACGCCTTTAGTCCCAGCACCCAGGAGGCAGATGCAGGCAGACATCTGAGTTCGAGGTCAGCCTGGTCTACAGAGTGAGTTCCAGGACAGCCACAGCTATAAGGAGAAACCCTGTCTCAAAAAACCCAAAATACATAGATAAACAAATAAGTAAACAACAAAACCCAGCAACAGCAACAAAAACAGAAAACAGACAGAATATCATTCATATTACATCGACCCTCATCTTTTCAAAAATTTCATCTGTCCATTTCAGTGACATTCAGTGGTTTACAGTGTCAGACAACCTTTGCTACTGTCTAGTTCCACAACGTTTTCGTCACCCCAGGAGGACCCATAACCATTAAACAGTCGCATCCCTTGCCTCCATGACCCGTGACCCTGGCTTCCCAACTCTGTGGTTTGCTGACTGTAGGTGTTGTACTCGCAGACTATTGTAGCACCGTCTTTTCTGTTTGGCTTCTTTCTGTTAGCATGGTGTCTGCAAGGTTCCATTGTGTTTTAATATGTGTGAGTCCTCTGTTCTGTTCCGTGTCTGCTTGATATTCTCTTACTGGTTTTCTTAGATTTAGTCTGTACATTTCACCAGTTTAGGGTGCTTCCACCTTTTGTTATTATAAATACTGCTGATAGAAGCATTGGTCTGTAACTTTCCCTTTGAACACTGGTTTTCAATTCTTTCAGAAGTAAAATTGCTGCGTAATAATTCTGTGCTTACATTTTTTGAGAAACTGCTGGACTCTGCTGTGCCATGCTGTAAATTCTGTGTTCACACCAACCATGGGTTCTAACTTCTCCACATCCTTCCCAGTGCCAGTTACTTATTCTTGTTATTATTGTTGTTATAACGATGTGGAATAGTGTCTAACTGTGATTTGAGAATGTTTTGTAGTACTGGGTTTATAGGTATCTCCGTTCAGGTTACCATATTAATGTTACTAAACCTGTCACATTTCAAAGCTACATGAAAAACCATATATACACCCCCATGAGGAGAGGTGCAGGGTGTCTTGACCACCAGAGTCTGTGATATGTGCTGTGGTCTCACCACTGTGGGCTAAGGAGAGGTAAAGTCCAACCTCTGTAATTCTCTAGCCTCTCTAATAACTTTTCTTTTCCTTTTAGGAATTTCCTCCAAGACTTCCAAAATGGTTTTTAGACACACTGGATAAGAGTTGACACTTGCCTGTGTGGGCTTCTGCCTCTCAGCTCCACCATCTTCTCATGACATTTTGATTGCACTGAGCCCAAGTGACCAGCTCTTCATAATGAGTGAAGAGAAGAACCTGGGTGTGTCCCAAAAATTGGTTTCTCCTTCAAGAAGCACAAGTAGCTGTTCCTCCAAGCAAGGAAGCCGACAGGTAACCTTGAACTCTTGTTGTTCTTAAAAATGCAAATTGAATCGTGAGAATTTGCAGGTAAAAGAAGTGTGTTCACTTGGGAGACACCACCTCTCAGTTAAAGATTAAGCAATTGTTTTCATTCCTGGTTACATGATGAGAATTGATTCATGTTCCTCCGGGTACTGAGAACTGAATTTGGATTGTTTTGTATTGTTTAGTCAACCTTTGCAGCCATCTACAAACATAGGTACCAACATTCCCATTTTCCCCCCAAGGAAGTGGAATCATCAGACCAGATTACCTGCTCCAGAGAGGACCAGATGCCAAACTAAAGCCCCACCTCTTTTGCTTCAGGGCCTACCTTTTCTTTTTTAGAGATTTATTTATTTTCATTTTATGTGGACGGGTGTTTTGCCACCGTGTATGTCTGTGCACCACATGTGTGTCTTGTACTCAGGTGCTGGAAGATGGCATCGGTTCCCCTGGAACTGGAGTTGTGATAGCTGGTTGTCAGTTGCCTTTGGGTGCTGGGAAATGCACCTAGGTCCTCAGCGAAAGTGACAAGTGCTCTTAACTACTGAGCCATCTCTGCAGCCCCTCCCACCTTTCCTTATACCTTATTAGCCAAAATAATCAGCAGACACACATCCAATAATTAAATACCCTCCTCCACTTCCTCATATTCACCAAGCTTTTGAGGAGAGCGTGTACGTCCAGATTGCCTGTGAGGAGCTAAAGCCTCGCCTGCTTTCCTTTCTAATGGGACAAGGGAAGCTAGTAAAGGGGAAATAGTGACTCACAGAAACCAGTAAAACAGAGGGCAGAATTAACTCCTAAGTAACTGGCAGTGGTCACAGTTTGCTTCTTGGTTTACTTTCCAAGGAAAGGAAAATGTGGCTCTGTTGGCAGATCTGCTGGTGTCTGTCCAATCGGTGACAATAAAGGCATATTAATCACTGCGATCTGTCCTGTGTCCTGTTCACCAAAGTGGGGCTGAGGGTCAGGGGATGTGTAAGAAAGCTGGATTTTTCAACCTGAGAGGCCTTGAGCTGTTCAGTATTTACTAGTTCTGTGGGCATTGCCTTTGCCCCGTGGGAAGTTCTGGCCTAAGAATTTGCTTTTGTCCAGATTTGGAAGCAGTAATTAAGCCGTGGCCCACCTCGGGAACGTCGCACAATGGTGATTCAGCTAAGTGTCTCTTAGTTTGAGCATTTGTCTCAGTCAGGGAGCTTGCCACCCACAAATTAAAGTTTGCTGTGAGTTTGACATGTAGGGAACCCTTTAAAATCTCTCTTGATTGTTAAGAGGGGTTTTTGTTTTGTTGTTGTTGTTGTTTAGTATTTATCTTTCTGTGTGTGCTCACAAATACACAAGCATGTTTGTGTCTGTGAGTATGGCTCAGCCTGTGCCATGATGTACAAATGAGAAGGTTGGAGGGCAACCTCAGGTGTAGATTCTTCTCATTTCTACCTTATTTTAGACAGCGTCTTCAGGGTTTTTTTGATGCTGCTACCAGGTTAGTTGGCCTATAAGCCTCCAGGGACTCTCCTATCTCTGCTTCTCGTCTTGTAAGAATGCTGACTTTTCAGATGCTTCTGTCTCATGTCCTCGTGTTTGTGTGGTGTGCTGGCTAGGTTTTTTGTTTGTTTTTTGTCGATGTTGTTGTTGTTTTTGTCAATATGACACAAACTCAGGTCATCTGAGAAGTTGAAACTTCAGTTGAGAAAAATGCCTCTATTAAATCAGCCTGTAGGCAAGTCAATAGGGGCATTTTCTTGATTAATGATTGTTGTAGGTACTGCCCATACTACCCCTAGGCAGTTACCCCATGGTTGTGTAAGAAAACAAATCAAGCAAGTCACAGGGAGCAAGTCAATAAGCAGCATTCCTCCATAGTTTCTGCTTCAGTTCTTGCCTCCAGGTTCCTGCTCTGGTTGTGTTCCTGCCTTGGCTTCCCCCAGTGATGGACTGTAATCAGATTGTGTAAGCCAAATAAACTCTTTCTTTCCCAGGTTGCTTTTGACTGGGGTCTTTAATTACAACAAAGAAAGCAAACTAAAACATGTGACAAGGACTTTTAACCATTGACTTAACTCCCTTGCCTCTGGGATTTTTTTTTTAAGATTAAATTTGTTGCTGGCTAATGTACCATGGGTCCCTAGAGAGCTGCTCTCATGGGAGGGACTGTGCCTGCCCACTTGGCCAGCTTCAGCTTCACTTAGTTGGGACTAGAAAAGAGTGTGAGTTGGCCTCCTACTCCTGCAGCTTACTCCAAGTAGCATGGCTTGTTCTGTCCTCCTTTGTCCCACAGGGATCATAGGCCCAGTAAAGTAGCAATTGTGACAGCCCCAGCATTTCCATCTTTACTACAGGAATTCTTTCTAGCATGTTTGTTGAGATTGGTTGGTATGGTTTTCACAATGCTGTCTTCTCTCCCAGTTCCCATAAAAATAGCAAGAGGATCCTACCCAGTGCTTCAACTTTTTTGACCATTCATCACATGGTCATCTTTTAATGTAAGGCCTTTAATTTTCATAATCAGCACACACCGTTGTTGTATGTTCTGGTCAGGTTTTTGTCAACTTGACACAAACTGCAGTCTCCTGAGAGGAGGAAGCCTCAATTGCAGAATTGCCTCTATCAGATTGACCTGTAGGTATGTCTGTGGGACACTGACTTGATTGCTGGTTGATGTAGGAGGGATCAGCCCACTGTGGGCTGTATCACCCCTGTCCAGGTGGGCCTGGATGGTATGAGAAAGCAGGCTGATCAAGTCATGGGGAGAAAACTAGTAAACATTGTTCCTCTAGGATCCTCCCTTATGTTTCTGCCCTGGCTTCCTTCGGGAGCCAACTAATCAAGACATGAAAACCCAACGGACCCTTTCCTTTCCAGGTTGCTTTTGGTGTTGGTCACAGCAAAAGAAAGCAAACTAGAACACTTTATTGACATAAAGTTTGTATTTCCTCCGACAGAGAAAATGGAGAATGCAATATGCTTATTTTACAACTAGTTGGATTTAGTTACAAAACCCCTGTTTGATTTGGAAGGACCGTGTATTGAGTCTACCTACTGTCCCATTTTCAGACAAACGGAAGTGTTCTGACCCAGGATAGCACTGCCTTCCCATCTATGATGCCTCTGTTATCAGTCTTTGTTTGTCTCACACACTGGCTGGGACACTGCTTGGGTCTCAGGAGCCTTGGAAGCTCTCCCTTGCTGGCCCTTTGGGGACTCGGCTGTTCCCATTGCATCTGTCAGTGGCTAAATAAAGCACACTGCATTTCCAGCCTCATCACAGGAAGTAAAAGTTAGAAGCTTAAAAAGGCAAGATTTCCACAGTCACAGGCTGAACTGTGGCATGGTAAAATGTTAATTGGTGAAGACATGTGTGCTACCTCCTTGTATTGAAGGTGCCACTTTGAAACCCCTTTCAGCTTGTCCAGTGCTTTCCATTTATTAGAAGTAGATTCATCCCCTGTTGACATCACTGGCCATTATCTATGGTACTAGCTTTCCTGTGTGCTCTGGACTATGGTTGCAATCTCATCTTGCGTGTCTCCTGCGAGATCTATAGTCATCTGCCTTGGTTTGGGATGTGCTGTTGCCTACCTTCCACTCCCAGGGACTCTGATCCAGGGCAAGTATCACGTTGCATTGGAACTCTTTTTCCATGGTGAGAATGGAATGTCTCAGATCCCCATAAGACCATCAGATAACCTGGCCCAGGTTCAGCTTCCTCCTTCCACCTCCCTGGATAAGCAGATGGCAAAACCTCCTTTCCCTGTGCTGTGGGGACTTCTGTCTGAATCATCTCAATTTGCAGCAGTGAGCCTGGCTCAGGTGGGGAAGGTTTGGCTCCCTTAGCTTCCAGAAGTAAGCCAACAAACACCTTTGCCCACGCTATGTTTTACATTTTTACTTTGTTTCAGGTCCATGGAGATTTTCAAACTTTTAAAAACATAACCTCCCCCGTCCCCTTAGCTTTATTGAGATGTAACTAACAAATGAATGAAAGTTTTATATATATTTATAGTCTATACTGTGCTGTTTTAATAGTTGCATACAGTGTGAATGATAAACACAGGCCAGATAACAAACGTACAAGTCATTGCACGTTGTTATTTCTGGAGTGTGGATAGCAAGAGCATTCAAGATCTACTCTCCTGGGCTGGGGAGATGCCCAGGATGTAGAGTGTGGGGTTAATTCCAGAACCCACATAAAGTTGGGCATGGTGACAGACACTTATGAAACCAGTGCTAGGGAAGTAGAGACAGACAGATCTCTGGGGTTCACTGGCTAGCCTCATCTAGTGGGTGAGCTCCAGGCTAATGAGAAATTCTATCTTAACAATAAGATAGCTCCTAAAGTAAACATCTGAGGTCCTCTGGCCTCTACCTGCACGTATGTGAACATTATCCTCTGACCTCACCTACACATGCGTGAACATGCCCACACATAGAGACCTACTGTCCTGACAAATGTCACATATAGTTTTCTCATGGTATTCGCAAAGATATTGGTTCCAGGAGACCCACTGATAACAGAATTTAAGAATGCACAGTCCCTTTATGTGAAATGCAAAGGCTTTCATCTATCACCTAGAGTGCCTTCCTCTATTTGTCAAGTGGTCTGGATTCCCGATAGAAATACTGTGTTAGCCATTGCTGCACTATATATTCAGGGAAGGATGACACAAAGAAAAGTCTGTATGTGTTTGGGCACAGCTTACATTCGGATATTCTCAGTCTGTAGTTGGCTGACTTCAAATATTCTCAGTCAAATATTCTCAGTCTTCAAATATTCTCTGTAGTTGGACGTCAGAGCCCAGGGGTGGCCCCAATGTGCTTCTTCTCACCATTGTTCCAATGTTGCACCTTAGACCTTCAGATTTTCTTTTCCTTGAACAACTGGAGCTTTGAGCTTTGAACCCGCACCCCGTGTCCTCTAATCTACTGATGTGTTGCACTGTAACCCTTCGTTCTGCTTTTGAGAGTTCAAGTTCTAGATGATGTTT